GGGAGATTTCTTACACTTAAAAAGAAAAGAGAAGCACGGGGCGCCTGGGTGGCTCAGTTGGTTGAACCACTGCTTTCGGCTCGGGTCATGATCCTGGAGTCCCGGGATCGAGTCCCGCATCGGGCTTCCCGCTCAGCGGGGAGTCTGCTTCTCCCTCTGACCCTCTTCCCTCTCGTGCTCTCTATCTCTCATTCTCTCTCTCTCAAATGAATAATAAAATCTTTAAAAAAAAAAAGAATAGGGAAGCAGAGGAGGATTCATGGAAAAATATTAATTTTGCAGTGAAGTTCAGGTTATTGTAAAGGACTTGAATAGCAGGAGGTCCAGTGGATACCTAGAAGGCCTGCTGATGACATATGTTCTCAGGAATTGGGCTGGTTTTTATGTTTGTGGAGGCTGCCTACTCCCATCTATACAAGTGTTGATTTCAATAGAATACTTTGGCTCCTCCCATAAAAAGAAAAATGATTTCAGAAAAGGGTAACAGATTTTGATCAATGTTATGTTTACAGATTTATTTACTTTTTTAAAGATTTATTTATTTGAGAGAGAGAGTGAGAGAGAGAGCATGAGTGGGAGGCGCAGAGGGAGAGAGAGAATCTCAAGTGGACTCCAGACTGATCACGAAGCCCCACACACCGGGCTTGATCTCAAAACCCTGAGATCATGACCTGAGCCAAAACCAAGAGTTGGACGCTTAACTGACTGCACCACCCAGACACCTCCAGATATTTATTTTCTTAAAATAAGATCTCATTATCATTTTTCTGTGCCCAATTGTCTGCATATATAATATATATTACATATTCAAAGTATATAATAGATGTCACATATATATGCATGTGTTTATAAATATAAATATGTATAAATATATACATATAATATTCATTCAGTTGATTATGGCTGAAGAAACGAGAAGACTTGAGCACACAGGCCAGTGTCTTAGTGTCATGGGCACTCTCAGAGGTGGACCTAGGAAATAGCAGCCTCCCCCATCTGTATCCTAGACAGACAAGAGCCACACTACATCATCACAGCAAGAATGCTGTGACTTCTCAGTTTTATATCTTACATCAAATGCAAATCTTTCCCTTTTTATGACATGTCAAACTGATTCCTTTATACATCATTAAATGCCTAATATATACCAAACACCATAGTAGAACACTAATTTTCTAGTTTATAATTTTTTCTTCACAAAACTTTATAAGTTGGATGCTAATATTTTTAGTTCACAGATAACAAAGCCAAAGCTCAGTGGATCTGCACAGTTAACAACCACTTGAGCTAATATTCACATACATTCTATCATGTATCTACCCAGTAAATATTTATTGAACTCCTTCTATGTTCTTGGCGCTTATTATATGCTAGAGATTCATTGTTGAATAAGTTGGCCATGCCCCTGCTCTTAAAGATGTTACTTTCTAGTAAGGGAAGTAATCATAATAATGATAATTTTTTTGAGAGAGAGAGAAAGAGTGTGTGAGTGGGGAGGGACAGAGGGAGAAGGAGAGAATCTTAAACAGGCTCCCCACTGAGCACAGAGCCAGATGTGGGGTTTGATCTCACAGCCCTGAGACCATGACCTGAGCCAAAATCAAGAGTCAGATGCTTAACCTTAACCAGCTGAGCCCCCCAGATGCCCCAATAACGATAATTTTTAAAACTATATAGATATGCATATATCTAATGAGCTACAAAATTTCAGATGAGGATATATTTAATGAGAGAGTGAGGTAATAAATTGTGGCCAATGGGAGGTAATTTGTACAGGGGATTAGGGAAGGTCTTACTGAGAGGGTGACATGTGAGGTAACATAAATCAGAAGAAAGTGTCAGCCATGGAAAATCTGAAAGCAGAGAAAACAAGAGCAAGAGCACCCTCCATAAAATTAAAATAAGTTTAATTTTTCAAGGAACAGAAAGTCAGCATAGCAGACTTACAGGGAATAAGAAGGAAAATTGTGGGAAATGATTATTTGTCTGTGAAATCTATACTTTTTAGATAATGTTAATTAGCCTGACTGTACTGGAATATATAATTTCAAAAATAGTTGGTGTCCAACTAAGACAGTTATGTTTTTCACATGAATATGGGAGTCATCAGAGGGGAAAAGTCATATTAGTAAGTGGTTAAACCGGACCACAATTTCTAGGATAGTTCAATGAGCTATTGAAAACTGCTTGGCATATGGGAAACACACACGGCAAGGATTATCAGTGTGCGTAAAGATATTTTCTTTCCCTCTCTCTATACCCCACAGACTTAGAAGAGTTCAAATACTGTTGCAGATTTAGAACTGCTATATTATCCTGTTACCAGACCCCCAGGACCGTTCTTGAGCCTTAATGTCATAGAAATGAACACTGAACGCAAGAGAAAGAAAGCCAGGCAGAGTTTATGAGAGATAGCTTGTATACAAGGGAATCAACAAGAAAGAGGAATGTTGCTCCCCAAAGGGGTAGTGTGCAAGGCTTATAAAGGCACTCTTCCAAAGGGTGAGGGGCTGGGAGTGGGGAAGCGTCCTTCGGTCCCACGGTCATTATCTTTGGTCGTGACTTTTCAGTGGACATGAGACAATTACAGGATGCCTTTCTCCATGGTCGACATCCTTCTAGGGCTCCTGGAACATAGAAATACTTGTACAGCAGACTTTAAATTGTGACTCCTAATTTTGCCCAGATGACCATTAATCCCTAACAGCTGTTATCTCTCATTTGTTTGCTTTCCCAGGACGTATCTGTCTCTAAGAGTATGAAAACCTTTAACCTCAGACTTCTGCCTCAGACCTGTGGCCTTACAGGAATTAAGTCCCTCTTGCTTTCCTATACTCCCTCAATCCCATGCATTCTTCACATTATAGGGTATGTAATTAGTATCAGAATGTGGACATTAACTCAGATCTCCCAAGTTTAGAAAAATAAACAAACTAAGTTGCTTTCACCCAAAGAAATTAGCAAAAGCATCAGCCGTTTCCCTTACGTGCCCAACTTGACCCCTTCCGTCGCTCATCTGCAATATTCAAGTGGGTACTTGCTATCCAGTGGCAATCTAGAATCCCACACACCTCCTCGAATGACACGCTCTAGTTTAGAACTTTTTATGTTTTTTATACATATTCTTTCATTAGTTCACATTTATTTATTCGTGCATTCAGCAAGTATCTACTGTTTGTACTGCCTACGTACCAGTTTCCAGTTACTATGTCAGGTGTTAGAGGCACAGAAGGGGCAAGCCAGAAAAAGTTCTTGCCCCCAAGCAGTTTACAGTCTAGTAAAGAAAGTAGACAATAAACAATGGTATAATATCAGATATCACCAAGTGATAGAAAGAAAGATAAAGGTATATGGTGGCATAGAGCATGAGATTCTTTTTACATAGAGAAGGTAAGTGAAGACCTTCCTGGGCAGATCACAGTTGAATAGTTAATAAAATGAGTTGAAGGGAGACCAAGACCTGCAAGGAGGTGGAAGAAGAACCTTTTAGAGAAAATACAAAGATTCTGTAGTGGGGGTATGCTTGACATTTTTGTGGTATAACAGAGGTTACAGCTGGAGAAGACAGTGACCAATTGGGAAAATGGCCGGAGAGGTAGCCAGGAGTCAGATCATGGACCTTCTCAACTATAAGAAGGTCTTTGGATTTTATGGTAATTTTGATAAGAAGACTTTGAGGGTTGCGGGGGGGATGAACATCTCACCAAAGTGATATGACTTAATTGTAAAACAACCCTTCTTGCTGTTATGTGGAAAACATAGTAGGAAATTGACTGAAAAAATGGAGTGGAAGCAGACAGCCCTTAAGACCAACATATACCTCTTCATGTCTTAGGTTAACAAATAAATACGTTGGCCCAACAAAGCTATGGTAGATGATAATTCCGAACCTACCTAGGCATAATACTTCCACAAATGTTTTATTCTGAAAACACATAGTCTTTAAAGAGGTGATATTAATGATAAAAATTATGGCAGAAAGATTGGTAACCAGAGTGGTATTTTGATCCCCTCCTTAAATCACCATACACAGACATTCTGCCTTCATAGCTCACTGGGATGGTATTGATACCATGGTAATATATTTTTTATAATAATCATACTCCAAATGTCTGACACCTCAGAGATACAGGAAAATAATCTAAAATAGGGGAAATTTAGAGAAGAATAAGATATGAGGAGAAATTAGGGCAATCTATATGAAAGTAAAATATGACCAAAAAATTAACAGGAGATAAATGAAACAGATAATTTAAGATAAACAATTTTAGAACATAGAAAGGAAGTTCCAGACCACAAGGTTTCTATTTCCTTAAAGCAAGTACATACTAAATGATACCTTAAAAGAACTAGTCCCCAGGAAGAAGTGAACGATACCCTTCTGACAGCCAATTTATAGCTTCCTAAGTAAAATTTTTCCAGAGTGGAGAGAGATCCATAAGGACAGAGATCTTAAAATTCTTATTTAACAATAAACCCTCTAGCCCCAAACAGTGTCAGTTTCAAAGTGCATGCTCAATAAATATTAGTTGTTAATTAAATAAATGAATGAGGTTCCAAGGGAAATATTACTCTCCAAATTATTTCCACCTCAAAGTTAGGAATCTTTAACTTTTCATTCTTTACTTAAATAGGCTGTCTCCTAAGTTATTTGTGTTTTTCACAAATTTAAGGAAGGATGTCTCAGATTCTGGGAAAATCCCGCTTGTCTCTTCGTGCTACACCTACAGTTGTGAGAAAGCACATTTCAGACAACAGGGAAAACCCGCAGCTCACCACAATAACACATCGTAAATCGTCTGGGCCGCTGGAGCATAAATTAAAGAGAACTGATGAAGTTGAGTGGTTAGGAGGCAGGAGGAAGGGGGTGGAGACAATACAACTGAATATAAACGCTGAGATACCTCACAGACTCAGAGACTGAACAAGAGCTTTGGCAAAGATTTTGCTATAGGTTGGCTTGACCTGGGATTAACCAGGGAATCTTGACTAGAACAAAGATGAATTCTGAAGATTGTTCCATAACAGAGAACAGCTCCTTGCGTCCAGAGGGTGCACAACAAAGTAAGTCAGACCTCTGTTATATACTGGTAACAAAACTCTTTCTCTCACACACATCTACCATGTATCATCTCTCTCTTTCTCTCTCTCTCTCACACACACATCTATCTATCATCTGTCTATCTTCTATCTCTCTATCCTCTGATATTAGCAGTATTTTTTAAAAATGAGCCTTTGTCTTAGAAACGCTCGATTACATTTTGCTTCAGTCCAGGTAAAGGAGAAGATGAGAACAAGTAAATATTTCTCTATCCATGAGAGGACAGGGTACCTGAGACTTGAGAGGAAACCACAAAGGTGGATTTCTGAAGATAGTTAGAGATCTGTTTTTTGTTTCAGTTTATATCGTATCAATTCTTCAGATTGAATTAGAAAATTCCCTGCACTGGCCCAGTGCATTCACCACTGTTTTTCCATATCCGTCTGTACATGTTTCAGGATGCATTGCCTCTCTTTATAGCAATTCTGTTTTCCCCATAACCAATTGCATTCTTTATTGTCTTCACCTTGTGTCTTTGTATGCTTTCTGTTTGCTTCAGCTTGTGTTCTCATGACAGCATCTTCCAGTTGCTGGGAATGAAGGTTTCCAATCTTTGAAAGAATAGCTGTATCTGAACATATCTGAACATTTACCAGGCCTGGAGGTAATTTCTTAGGAGAATGTCATGAAAAATTCTTGAAAATATGAACTTCTACTTCTGTACTCTTCATGGAACTCTTCATTTCATCATTCTGACTCCCCCTTTCAATCACAGGCTTCAAATTCTACATGAATCATACGTGGTTCTGCCTTTCTTTTGTTTTTCATCAAAATACATCAAAATATGGCCATCTTAGCTATTTACCTTTTCCTTTCTTCTATTCATTTATTCTGTCCACAGACCTATTCTATTTCCTATTACTAGGATGCTCCCATTGTTTTTCCTATAATGTGTTTCTGTGAGGTTTTCTTGATTTTTTCCATATATCCCTCTTCCTCTCTAATTAATGAGGTGCTCCAAACACTAGCATGTGGGAGGGACAGTTTACTTATAAACAAAGTTATCCAGTAATAAAGGGGTGTGTTATGAGCAGCAGAGCTGAACAATCTGGAAGAAGGGATTGTTTTCTGAGTGTGTGTCTATTAGACTGGTTTACCTTAAAAAGGCATCAGTCACTTCTGATAAACCCATCTTTCACCTAAGAACACAAAATCAAGGGTAGATAACAAGTGCATGCCACACAGATTTCTGGTGGCTAGGTAACCGTACTTTTATGGCCCAGTTGAGCTGCTGAAAAGAAGAAATGTATATAATAATAAAACTACTCAATACGTAGAAAGCATAGTTGAAAGAAGAAGGACCTAATTCAGGAATCCTCACCTTTTTCTGAGTTCATCCAATTTTCTGTTGAATGTTTAGTTTATGCTGCCCTTGTGGTTGCTTTACTAGTATGAACAGTCCTTGGGCATCACCTTTGGATGTCTCAGTATATAATTGTTGATTTATTTTCAGTTTCTTCATTAATGAACAAGGCCCATAATCAGAGCGGAAGTATGCTGTTGGGGGAGTGTTTTGTCACCTAGGTGTTAAATCAAACTGTGAGTAACAATAGCCCTCACGAATGGAAAACAAGTGTACAGTCTGAGAATTATCTCCACAGTTTGCCCATTGGATAAGCCAATAGACTGAGCTAGGCTCTGAGTCCATGAGCCATCTGGACAAGTTAGTGTTTGCTAAGGAACCAGAACTGTTGCTTCATTGAGTCTAAGCGGCATGATCGACTCTCACATGGGAAGAAGTGAAACTAGACAGACAGCTCTGAACTTACCACCCTACCTACAAAGGCTGCTTCCGGTGATCTACTGGTGAAAAAAAGGAAGATTTGCTTTGAGAAGCTGTGAGAAATAGAACTAGATAGGAGCTCAGTAAAGGCTTCTCTTGCAAAATCTGAATGCAGACCTCTGCTGGGAAAAACAATCCCCAGCAGCAAAAGCTGATGTTGGCAACCAGTAAACAATGAAAGAAACCGTATGTCTTTGCTCAGTCTGACTTCAGAGAAATGTTTCAAGGAATAGAAATAAAAAATTTCAAGATATGTTCTCTGTTAACATTCTTTGAATTATGAAAGCCATACACATTGAAAAACAGGATATGTTTGCATTTGAGGCTATTTTGCTTGGTAAACTCTAATATCATGCAAGTGGCCATCTTACATTTCAGGTTTTGAGAACATAATAGGGAAATACAGATTTCTTGTGAGGCCAGATTTTTAAAATCTCAAGGGCTCATCCTAGCAAAAATCAAATTCAAACTCTGGACACAAAATCCCCTTCTCTTCTTCCTCAATTATTTACTTATATTCTAAGATAGATATTCTTCTAGTTTTTTTTAAACTAAGAATCATCATTCACATCATATTCATATTCCACAAAAATATTTCTTACTGGTGAAATCAAATTTTTACTTTGTTTCAGCACTATATGGAAGGTAAATGAAATAATCAACTTCCGCCTAATATTTGTTAATATTGTTATATTTCTTCTATTAATTTAACTTCTCTTGAAAAATTCAAATATTTGACTCCATCTACATATCATTTTTAACTGAGCTATAATTTACATACAATGGATGCACACATCATAAGTATGCAGTTTAATGAATTATAACAAAAACTCCAATCAACATTTGAAATTTTCTATCACCCTAGAAAATTCCCTGTGTTTCTTTCTGGTCGAATTACTTTTCCGACACACATAAAAGCAATCACTTTTCTGATTTCTATCACCAGAGTTTAGTTCAACTATTCTTTTATTTTTAAGTATAGTTAACATGTATTATTACATTATTTTCTGGTGTACAGAAAATGTAATGCTACATCCTTTTATGTTATGCTATGCTCACCATAAGTGTAGCTACCATCTGTCACCGTACAGTGCTACTACAGTATCATTGACCATAATCCTTATGCTGTGCATTTCATCCCCATGACTTATTCATTCCATAAGTGGAAGCCTGTATCTTCCATCGCCCTTCACGCATCTTATCTTACCCATTCCTCCATCTGCCTCCCCTCTAGCAACCATCATTTTGTTTTCTGTATTTATAAGTCTGATTCTGTTTATTGTTTGTTCCTTCATCTGTTTTGTTTTTAAATTCTACACGTGAGGGAAATCATATGGTATCTGTCTTTCTCAGTCTGACTTATTTCACTTATAGTTCAGCAATTCTCGAATGTCATGCAAATGGAAATATACAGTATATAGTTATAACTGCATTTTCTTTACTCAACATTTTTTTGAGATTCATGCATTTTGTTGTATTTATCAGGTTTTTTTTTAATTGCTGAATAGTATTCAGATATACCATAATTTGTTCATCCATATTCTTATTAATGGATATGTGGGTTATTTCTAAGACTTGGCTCTTAAGAATAAAGCTGCTAGGAACATTCTTGTTTTGTACAAGTTAGATTGCTGGATCATAGGGTTGGTGTATATTTAATTGTATAGAGAAAGAGTTTTCCAAATTATTTTTCCATTTTACTCTCCCATGAGTAATATATGAAAATTTCAATTGCTTCACATCTGTACCAACTTCACCAAAAAGTACCATCAATCTTTTTTTTTAAATTTTCAGTCACGCTAGTTGTAGCTATTTATATATCAATTCAGTATTTTTTATTCATTATCCACACCTATTGCATTTATGTCATCTCTCTTAAACAGTGACTACAGAAAGGTAAAGGCATTGTGCTTAGGATGTGCCTTTTGTATATCTTCTAGGATAATCAGAGATTTAATAAATGTTCTCGTGATTCAAACAGTAAAATTATGATATACTTAAAATTTTTGTAGCTACTAAGTGCATAGATTGGGGAGATATTTTATGATCTCATTATTATTCCTGAATTGTTTCACTATCCTAATTCACTCAAAATTTGGGGGAAATTAGCTTATAAATTTCATAGAACAAGGTAAGGAAGAATTAAAATGTAAATGCCTCGGGAGAATATCGAATGTCCCTTTCTTACGTCTCCAGTCTGCCTAAATTCATCATCAACTTTCTCTCTTCAGGTAATGCTGCCAGCCCTCATTTTGCAATGCAGCATGAAGGGTCCCTTCAAGTTCCTATCCCATGTGCTGTCGTGAATGTGGTCCTCATCACTGTTTTAATCATAGCTCTCATCGCTATATCAGGTGGGTCAGTACTTCATGAATTCATTGAGTCTCTGCTGTTAGCATTTATGTCCAGCTGAAATCAACAGGGATTACTTGGTCTAATTAATGAGAAATTCTGATTAATTTAGAATTATCCCAATTACTATATATGGCTGATTTCTTAAAGAATACTAAATATAATTCCATATTCCTTAGATGATCAATACAGTGCTTTCTGAGTTTTCTAGAGCTTCTTTACAAGTATTAAAAGTGTCTATGTTTTATAAATTATTATGGGAGAAAATTACATTTGAGCATATTTTAAAATCCAAAATGAAAGGGACTGGTTTAGATTCTAAATAAACAGACATTTAGTTAGAAAAAAAAATGTGGGCTTCACATTCACTCTTGATAGAAAAAAAATAGTATCTAAGCCATAGATTAATCAGGTATTGATCAGTCTTTTGTCTTTTATCTCCAAGGCCACAGAATGGTGGTTATGGATAATTTAAAATATATCTAGAATCTCCCAAAGAGTCAACTGTGATATGGTATTCAAAACATATAGCAATACCAAGATACATTTGTGCCTTTACAAACATGAAATTTTACAACTTTATGAGACATCCTCAGTCAGGGATCTTTCTGTATTCTGAATTACTTCCCTGTAAATTTTTCTGTCCTTCATCTCCCAATACAGTGTTATATTGACTGCATTGTAATTTATAATGCCCTGTCCCCTTTCTAGTCCAAAGGCTACTTGCAAGATTTTTCTATTTTCCTACCCCTTTCTGAGATTATGGCTCGAAAGACACCCTCTTATTTCTTATACGCTGACAATAATGATTAGGCACAACAAGAGATTATATAAGGTTGTCACCTAGCACTGCTCAGCACCTCCTGAACTGATTTTGCATACTGTGGGTATTTACTTTCTTTTGTTACTAAAACAAACCACTTTCCTGTTCACAGTGGGCCAATACAATTGTCCAGGCCAATATATGTCCCCATTGCCATCAAATAGCCATGTTTCTTCATGCTCCGATGATTGGATTGGATACCAGAAGAAATGCTATTTTATTTCCACTGAAAAGAGGGGTTGGACGCTGGCCCAAAACTTTTGCTATGAACAGGGTGCTACTCTTGCATTCATTGATTCTGAAAAGGACATGGTAAGATAGTATTCAAAAACAATTTCATAAAATATTGCTATTTTTTAATATAGATAATCTGTGATTCCTTTCTGTCTCCTGCTAAGTGAAGACATTGTGCCTCTCTCCCTTGTGGGAAAATTTAGTCACAGAAAAGCCATATGATCAGTCTGAGGTCCCAATCAGGGTTCAGTTTAATCTTGTAAATTTGCTTTGATTACTTAACGTCAAAGGCCAAAAATACAAATGAGCTTGTCCTAAATAGAGCTAATAACTGATCAGCTTAGCTGTCATGCCTTGAATTGCAGCTTCTGAAAAATGGGATTAATTATGTGCTTACCCAGAGGGGTTGTTTAACACACACATCCTTTGTGCTTTCTTCAAGAGCTTTTTAAAACAATATGTGGGTATAACTAATCATTGGATTGGGCTGAAAACTGAAGATGGTCAGACATGGAAATGGTCAGATGGCAAAGAATTTAACAACTGGTGAGTTTCAAGATATCTCTTTATCCTCCCCAGAATGGCAGCTCGGGGAAGCCATTTTCCTTTCAAAGCACTGTTGTATATGATGGTTGTACCCTTTAGGAGCAGAGCTTTATCAGTCTGTTTTGTGTGCTTATACTCTTTCAAATTCTTTAAAGAAGGGTTTAATATTGCCATTTTTTCTTTTTATCTACTTGGAAGTCATACAATAAATGTTTCTAGTAATTTTATCTCAGCAAATTTTAGTGTGAGTGATAGACTCAGACATTCCAGACATAATTACGATGATGCAAAAAGAAAAATCCAACATTGCCAATCTCATATATATTTTTTCCTGATAAGCTGACTTTTTAGAAAATAATCCCCTTTCACTCTTTCCCAGTTGTCATCCCCGCAAGGATAAAGCACAGTATTTCTAATAGCAAATTAGAGGCTTCTATGAACCTGACAGAAAACTTGCCCCAGAATGGAAGATGTTGACTTTATTACCCGTAATTGATGTACATTCTGAAGTTTGAAGGACATTTTATATAGTTAGTATTAACCTTTGCCATCTGAAAACTCAGAACTGAATAAATTTCTAGCCTTCTAAATAGTTTTTTTTTTTTAAGATTTATTTATTTGACAGAGAGAGACACAGTGAGAGAGGGAACACAAGCAGGGGGAGTGGGAGAGGGAGAAGCAGGCTTCCCATGGAGCAGAGAGGCCAATGTGGGGCCCGATCCCAGGACCCTGGGATCATGACCTGAGTCGAAGGCAGTCGCTTAATGACTGAGCCACCCAGGCACCCTAGCTTTCTAAATAGTTTTATGATAATTACTGATAAGGAAAATAAATTTAAATTTCTAGATAAGGCTAATATGTGTCCTATGGTACTTTACACACAGAATTGGCTTCGGGGACCATCCACCCTCTAAAATTGTATGCCTGATTGTTGAATGTGTATCCTTTCTGGGAATTATTTCTCCAGGAATTTGAGAAACACCAAGAGTCACTCCTCTGGTGGCATGCCAACCAGATAAATGGAACACTTTGCTCTTACCTTTTTATCTTCCTTCCACAGAACCTTTCTTGCAATTCTTGTCTACTGTCTCTACAGATCGGTTTATGGTCACTTGACCAGATGACTTGCTTCATGAACTCCTATCAAACAAACAAACAAACAAATCTGAGGCTACCCTCGCAAAGTTCATTTTCATGTAATTGAATGGAAATAATGAATTCAAAATCATTCTAAGTTTCTTTATTGTTTGACAGGTTCAGCCTCCCAGGATCTGAGAACTGTGCATTTCTGAATAGTACAGGGGTCAGCAGCACAGCATGTGGAAAGAATTTATATTCGATATGTAGCAAACCCGCTAAATAATGAGGAAACATATTTGCTTTTAGACTATTATAACATGGAACTCAAGGAAATTTGTGTTGATCGATGCTGCTCTACGGTCAGAAATTTTCCACAAAGACTTTCTGAAAAAACTTTGTCTTATTTTGGAAACCTTCTTCCAAACAAGACTATGGGAAAAAAGGAAGAGAAATTCCAGGAATATCTGCATTGTGGAACACTCTTGCCATGAGCTGAAAAAGTCACAGGTTGACTGATCGTTACATCCAAGAATGAGAAGAACGACTTTAAACCTTATGGATGCACTTTATATTTTTTAGAATTAAAAATAATAAAATAACTAGGCTTAGAGTTATTATTTATTGTTGAATGAGTACCAAAACTGAGTGTGCTTCATGTATTTGCACTATTTGAAAACGTTAGGTGGTGGTATTAAAAACCGAATGTAAACAAGAAATTTCAACTGGTAGCATGGACATTTAGTCTAAATGCATTTTTTTTTTTAAATCAGAGAACATGTATAAGTGGACAAATGCTTATGAAACTAAGCTTTGTAATATTTCTCTCTTTTTAGAGAAGTTTGCCAGGTGACTTTGTCATTTTCCCACCAAAAGAGTGGGATGATCATGTATTTATATTGTTGTTGTTTTTACTTCTTCTGTGTAATTCATCTTTTTCAATGTTACATAATTCACTGTCTTAAGAATCTTACACGTAGCATTTTACAGAGATAGAGACAAAAACAAATATGAGGGATATTTGTGAAACAGATAAAGTATTGGAAAATGTGCAATATGTGATGTGGCAAATTCCTATCAAGAAAACTTCTGTATTGTTTAAACTTGGAATAATAATAGTCTTATCTGACTATACATGTGTACCTTTCCTAATCAATTCTATCATGTGCAATGCTCCTTATAAAGTATTTTCTGAGTGCAATAGTGTTTCTTTGTTTGTCTTTTGTATTCAGTACCCTTATAAGCTGATTTTATGTATGTTAAAATAAAAGTAGAATCGACAAAATGGTTTCTAAGAAGTGTTCATTTCTTGAAATACACTCAAAATTATATGTCATACAAGAAATCAGAAAACAGAATACTATAACATTTTTTAAACTTATCTATAGTAAAAACTTAGCTTTATAAATTTGTACTTTTTGAATTGTTTTCATATATATTTCCAAAAGAGCTACAGTTATTTTTCTGTACAGCAGATCCTCAGTAAATATTCTAATTGACTTGGGAGGAATATATGTCATTTAAGGTTTTTTTGACTCTATTTTCTTCCTTTCTGTTATTATTCATCACCCTCATACTAAAGAGGCATAGGAAATTAGGCGACCCCTAGAGTCATCTCGGGAGGACCTGTGATTTATAGCTCATCTTCTCTCCAATAAAAGGATAACTGGTCCTCATAACTGATGCTCTGAAAGCATCTTGTTCAATTCTGAAGTTCTAGGCATATTTTGGTTATTTACACAAAGTAATCCATGAAGTAGAAACAAGGCACTACGTTAATCTGTATGAGATACTTCAGTCAGGAAAAATTCTGTTACCTTCAAAATTGTTTTGTGAATGTATTTCATAATATTCTTCTCTGAAAGCATTTCTGAATGCTATTGTGATATCTCTAAACATCATGAGTACAGCATATTGAAAACAAATGCGAACGGGGCGCCTGGGTGGCTCAGTCGATAAGCGTCTGCCTTCGGCTTGGGTCACGGTCCCAGGGTCCTGGGATCGAGCCCCACATCGGGCTCCCTGCTCGGCGGGGGGCCTGCTTCTCCCTCTCCCACTCCCCCTGCTTGTGTTCCTGCTTTTGCTGTCTCTTTCTGTCAAATAAATAAATAAAATCTTTAAAAAAAAAAAAAGAAAAAAATGTGAATTCCAGACATTGCTTAGTGATAAAAAATATAGAGGTTCTTTCATCTCCATGTCCTTCAGTTCTCACAGCTGTAAAAGGAAACAAATGGCCTTCAGACTCTAATATCCCATCATTAGTAACAACAATATGCGCCTGAGTCACGTGAGAAAGCAATGTCTTGTGATTCGTGTGTTATGAAATGTGTAAATGGGGGGCGCCTGGGTGGCTCAGTTGGTTAAGCGGCTGCCTTCGGCTCAGGTCATGATCCTGGGGTCCTGGGATCGAGGCCGACTTCGGGCTCCCTGCTCCGCGGAGAGCCTGCTTCTCCCTCTCCCTCTCCTTGCTGTTCTGCCTACTTGTGCTCTCTCTCTCTGTCAAATAAATAAATAAAATCTTTAAAAAAAAAAAAAAGAAATGTGTGAATGGAAAGTGTTGCTAAAAGCCAGAGCACCGGAGAAATGCTGCCTGTTTCATCTCTGCCACCTGCTAGTTGCCCAACTGTTTTAGTTAGCATTAGTTAGAAATTTCCCCAAAATTGGGTAGAAATTAAATTAGTTAATACGTGAAAAGGAGTTTAGAATAGTACCTGGCTCACCGTGATGTATTAACTTCTAGTAATGATTGTTATAAATGGGAACATTATGTCATTAAATTTCCAGTATTGGCAAAAAGCAGCATTTCTACATAATATGTGTACGTCTACATAGCCTGTCTTTCTTTTTGGAGGGGTTATTTGTCAAACAATAAACAATTACATTAGGGTAGTGATGAAGCGTATACTAGGGAAAGTGTAGGGTGCTGTGGAAGTATATTACAGATATATACTTGATTTGCTCCTGTGTTCAAGCTTTTAGCTAATTTTTAAAATGTTGAATTTATAGGCTATATTCACCCCGGATAATTATGTTAATATGTACTGAAGGTAACTACCAGTTATCTGTGTTTTATTTGGCTTTTGCAACATAATTGCAATTCCCTCCTCTAAAAGGGTAATAACAGTTCACCTGCTTATTTCACATAAATATAGGGATTCAATAAAATTAAAAGTATTTTTTAAATGATTGAATGGCACTGAAATGTTAGGTCCTATAGTCAGTATTGAATTGATTCAAAACTTTTAGTATTAATATAATATTGATATAGAAATTATCTTTCTGTGTTTGTTCTCAATTTTCATAATTTTGACTAGATTTTAACACATGAAAATTGATCACAACTGAGATTAAAATGCTAACAAAATTCTAGAGAAAATATTGGAAAATATATGACCAGAAAGACTGTGAATGATCACATAAATTGGTAGAGTTTGACCTTTGGAATACAGTTTTAAAATACTCATCAAAAGCCCTAAAAGATTCCATGTTTCTTTTGATGTGACAATTTTTGGGGTGGGGGAGAGGAAGGACTTTAAAGGAATAATCTCTGATGTCCAAGACATAACCACAAAAATGTTTATCAAAGAACTATTTTTACTAGTGATAAATCAGAAACCACTTAATGGTTCAAAATTAAAGATTTGGTTAAGTAAGTATGATTCTACTACATGATGAAATAATCTGACAACAATGAAAAATAACAATAAAAAAGAAAGTTGAGGAATATGGGGAAATATGCACACTATTATTGTTAAGCCAGGTAAAATAATACAGCCAGTAAGATTCTATCCTGTTAAATATTGAACAGAAATACATATGCTTTGTGTTTCTATAGAAGAGAGAAAACTACTTGAAGAGAGAAAACCACAAAGGTAAGCACAATGATTTTCCCTGAGTAATAGGAGTAAAGATAACCTTTCTTTTCTTCTTTATGTTTCTTTATAGTTTCAAGATATTTTATAAGAAAAATTTATATTTTAATATAGTATCATTAAAATAAAAAATTTATATTTTAAATATAGTTTCATTAAAGTAGTCATTTTATTACTTAAAGTCATTTTATTATTTAAAATAATAAAATTATTATTTTATTATTAAATTATTTATTATTTAAAGCACAGTCATTAAATGACTTTAATAAAGTCATTTTATTATTTATTATTATTTATTATTTAATTATTATTATTTATTATTTAAAGCACATTTTATTATTTAAATTTAAAGTCATTTTATTATTTAAAGCTCTACTTTCTAGTGACCAATTACATATATTAAAAATTAGTTTGCTTTGAAGCAGACCCATAAATACAGAGAACAAACTAATGGTTGCAGAGGGGAGGGGGCGGTGGGATGGGAAAAATGGGTGAAGGGGAGTGGGAGTTACAGGTTTTCATTCATGGAATGGATAAGTCACAGGGAGGAAAGGTACAGCGTAGGGAATATAGTCAGTGATGGGAGCTATACTTGTGAGCCCAGCATAAGGTATTGAGTTGTCAAAACACTATGTTGTACACCTGAAACTAATGATAATATAATTGACACTATATTTCAAGAAATAAAAAAACAACCAGTTTGTTTCAAGAATCTCCTCTACCCTAAATTAACTCAAGTCCCCCAGTTTCATGGGCATCCACAAGCTGCAGTGTCATCTAGTGGCCGGATAAAATCATGGCAGTTTGGTTTGGTTTGATTTCTTGGTCCAGGAGATATACTTAACCTGAGAAAAATTATAGTTTTGCTTTTCTTTTCAAACAGTTTAAGCACAGTTTAAAGTTCGTGGGTAATGTAATCAGGTTAATGTGTTTCATCCGAAAGACATTGCATCTACTTTCTTTTTCTTTTTCTTATTATGATGTTATGTTAATCACCATACATTACATCATTAGTTTTTGATGTGGTGTTCCATGATTCATTGTTTGCGTATAACACCCAGTGCTCCATTCAGTACGTGCCCTCCTTAATACCCATCACCAGGCTAACCCATCCCCCCACTCCCCAACCCTCTAGAACCCTCGGTTTGTTTCTCAGAGTCCATAGTCTCTCATGGTTCATCTCCCCCTCCGATTTCCCCTTCCCTTCATTTTTCACTTCCTACTATCTCTTCTTCTTCTTCTTTTTTTTAACATATATAATGTATTATTTGTTTCAAAGGTACAGGTCTGTGTTTCAACGGTCTTACACAATTCACAGCACTCAGCTTAGCACATGCCTTCCCCAACGTCTATCACCCAGCCACCCCATCCCTCCTCCCCCCACCACTCCAGCAACCCTCAGTTTGTTTCCTGAGATTAAGAATTCCTCATATCAGTGAAATCATATGATACATGTCTTTCTCTGATTGACTTATCTCGCTCAGCGTAATACCCTAAGTTCCAGCCACATCATTGCAAATGGCAAGATTTCATTCCTTTTGATGGCTGCATAATATTCCATTGTGTATATATACCACATCTTCTTTTTACAATCATCTGTTGTTGATGAACATCTTTGCTCTTTCCACAGTTTGGCTATTGTGGACATTGCTGCTATAAACATTGGGGTGCATGTATCCCTTTGGATCACTATATTTGTATCTTCGGGGCAAATATCTGGTAGTGCAATTGC